GAGATGCAAACTTCAAATTGCTAGTATGTGGTAAAAACTCATGTTGCCAGTTTTTCTACCCAAGACAAGACAGGACAGGCCAAGAACTGAAGTATTTCAAGACCGCATTTCTTATGGTAGTAAATAATACATTTTTAAAAAGTATATTCAGCCTGTATTTACTAGTGGTTTCTCTTAAACGCCTTTTAATATATTTGGGTTTGCTTTTTCTGCTAATTTTAAAGTATGAACTGATTATTTTCTAGTTAGGACTTTAATTTTTACTGATGAGAAGATTAACTAGCTTGCAAAGTCTGCTTTTAAAAACTTTGAAGGTTTGAAGGGCTGCATAGTAGCTGAGCATTACTGGTTACATTTCTGTTCCAAGATGTTTAGTTAGAGCTGCTGCCACAGCCCGCGTATTTATGCTAGTGCTGTTACTCTGAGCAAGCTCTCTCCTCCCTTTTCTCTCCTCCTCTCCCTTTCTGCGGTACATATCAACCTTGCTTTGACCAGGGACGCATCCTCCATGGCCTGCCTGGTGGGGGCTTTGCTCAGGTACAAACTCACCTCAGTGCCCAAGGGTTGGTGCTGAGTTTTATGTCTGGTTCAGAAGCCAACCACAAGTCAATCCTAGGAGTGCAGTAGTTAAAGGCCAAGATAGGCACCACTATAAACAGTGTTTGTGTTGGAAACTTCACAGGATCCATGGCTGCTGTATGTCTGCCAGATAGCTTTATAACTGCTTACAAATTTTTATGTCAAAATATTATAATCTAGCCTGATGTTCAGTGCGTGATGCTTGTGACAGCAAGACCTTCAGCATGTTGGTGGATGTTGCTGTTTTGTGTAGACTTAATATAATGCAGCTAAATGATGACTATTGGGGCAGTTGTCAGTCACTTCTTTTAGACTAGCAGATTCATTTGTTTATAAAAGAGGAGAAAAAAATCCATTAGGAGAAGCAGTTTTGTAAAAATTATGTGGAAAAAAATACTAATAGTGGCTAGGCTTGATGATCAGATGGTTTGGATGTGGGTATTGTGAGTGTGGGCAACATGGTGGCACTGGGGCTGGCAGCCACCGCTCACGTGTGGTGCCACCACTGGGTTTGTTACTACTGCTTTGCTAAATCTGTGATAAGAAGCGGTGAGTGCTTGCCTTGCCTTTCCGGCGTGGCTGCCCCAGCACAAGGCAATGCCATGCGAAGGCTGACCCAGGGAGTGTGAGAGGTTCTCCTACCGCAGAGCGTGGGTAGGGGCTGACGGCTTCTCCGTGGGGGTGTGCAGTTGTGCCAGTAGGTCCTGATGGGGGGAGGGGGCTGGTGTAGCTTGGCTGGGGGTGCAGAGGCCAGGATCACTGGGTGCATGAGCTGGCAGGCTGGGAACGGGGAACGAACTGTGGCTGGTTGTTTCTGCTGTGCTCAGGGAAACAGCCCTCTGCTTACATTCCTTGCAAGTTAATAGGGTCGCACCAGAGAATATACCTGATTTGGATGACCTGTTTCTCCTCCCAGGGTAAATGCTCCTTCCTGACCCAAATACCAGCTAACTGCTTCCACCAAAGGGACCTCAACTATGTTGAGAGTTGTTGGTGTACGATGTTTGGTGGTTTCTGCTGTGCTCAGGGAAACAGCCCTCTGCTTACATTCCTTGCAAGTTAATAGGGTCGCACCAGAGAATATACCTGATTTGGATGACCTGTTTCTCCTCCCAGGGTAAATGCTCCTTCCTGACCCAAATACCAGCTAACTGCTTCCACCAAAGGGACCTCAACTATGTTGAGAGTTGTTGGTGTACGATGTTTGGTGGTGCACAGCTGAACCTGGTTAGGAACAGCAGGTAAAGTGTTCTTGTTGCTTTTCCTGACAGTTCTGCTCTGAGCTGTTGAGAATAGAAACTGTTAACAACATTGAAATGGTAGTAGTGTTCATTCTTTTGTAACAGACCTAGATGTTGAAAGATGCTGAAGGTAAAGTCTAGAGAAGTGCCCAAGTTCAAAAGCCAGCTTAGTAATTCTGAAAATATTATGAAGAATCTTAGTCTAATGAACACAGATATTTACATATCTTTAATTTGAAGGAGTATATGTTTCCTTAGGAGTCAGCATGGTGTGTTGTATTTTTGTAAATTTATGTGAAAAATGCTTTCAGTGAAATACTGAATACACAAACCCAGTTCCGCAGGTAGAGGTCTCAGCCCTGCCATGGGGGCCGTGAGAGCACAAGAACAAGTGCCTGCCTGGAAGAGCCCGTTGCACAAACCTGGCAATGTTTGCAACAATTTGTGGAAATTGGTGTTAAAATCTTTACTAAAACTCATTTTCTTTAATTAGGTTTTCATTTTAAATCTTACTTATGTTCTCATCACTTTTTTTACCTATGTCTTCATGGGATAATTATGAAGTCTTGTTCAATGCAGGCTATTTTCCCCCTCAGTTAAAGTTTCAAACAGTTACTGCGAAATCATGTGGAATCATCTGATTCCATGTGATTTAGTAAAGCCTTTGACACCATTTCCCACAGCATTCTTCTGGAGAAACTGGCTGCTCATGGCTTGGACTGGTGTACTCTCTGCTGGGTAAAAAACTGGCTGGATGGCTGGGCCCAAACAGTGATGGGGAACGGAGTTAAACCCAGTTGGCAGCCAGTCACAAGCGGTGTTCCCCGGGGCTCAGTACTGGGGCCAGTCCTGTTTAATATCTTTATCAATGATCTGAGCAAGGGGATCAAGTGCACCCTCAGTAAGATTGTTGGGAGTGTTGATCTGCTCGAGGGTAGGCAGGCTCTGCGGAGGGATCTGAGTCAATGGGTCAAGGCCAACTGTATGAGGTTCAACAAGGCCAAGTGCTGGGTCCTGCACTTGCATCACAACAACCCCACACAATGCTACAGGCTTGGGGATGAGTGGCTGGAAAGCTTCCAGTTGGAAAAGGACCTGGGGGCATCGGCCGACAGCTGGTTGAACATGAGCCGGCAGTGTGCCCAGGTAGCCAAGGTGGCCAACAGCATCCCGGCCTGCATCAGAAATCATGTGGCCAGCAGGAGTAGGGAAGTGATCGTGCCTCTGTATTCAGCATTGATGAGGCCGCACCTGAAATACTGCATGCAGTTTTGGGCCCCTCACTGCAAGACAGACACTGAGGTGCTGGAGCATGTCCAGAGAAGGGCAATGATGCTGGTGATCTGGAGCACAATTCCTATGAGGAGCGGCTGAGGGATCTGGGGTTGCTTAGCCTGGAGAAAAGGAGGCTGAGGGGAGACCTGATCGCTCTCTACAACTGCCTGGAGAAGGAGGTTGTAGTGAGGTGGAGTCGGTCTCTTCTCCCGAGTAACAAGTGATAGGACGAGAGGAAACGGCCTCAAGCCAGTCAAGGTTTAGATTGGACACTGGGGAAAATTTCTTTACCGAAAGGGTTGTCAAGCACAGGAACAGGCTGCCCACAGAATTGGTGGAGTCACCATCCCCAGAGGTGTTTAAAAGACATGTAGACGTGGTGCTTAGGAACATGGTTTTGTGGTGGTCTTGGGAGTGCTGGGTTAATGGATGGACTCCATGACCTTAAAGGTCTTTTCCAACCTAATCGGTTCTGTGATTCACAGATGACTTTGAAAAGAGTGTTCAGAGCTGTTTGAAATATTATTTCCTGCTATTTAATCGTCATACAAAACGTTCAGTGTTACTCTTGTAAAATAATATTGGCAATAAAAAAGCTAAATGTGTCCCCCTTTTTCAGGCAGGATGGAAGTAACTTCTTTAGAATCTTCAATGCCACAATACAGCTGAGCTGTACAAAACTGTGCAGAAAGTGTCTCTCAGTCTCTCACAACTGAGAACAAACTACCGTCTAGTTCTCTTTAGAGAGATGTCCACAGTCAAATCGTCTACCTGACTTGAATCTCTGAATTGTGCCTGGTGTATTTTGCTTTTCAGAAACCACATCCTTATCACATCTGATTAGAAGATGGCTGGTAGCTTGAGAAACCCTGCCATGTTTTATTAATGTAGTATTTGACAGCTGTTAACTAGTGAAACTAGAGATTGGTGCTCACTTGACTAAAAGGTACCTGCACCTGATACCAGTCATGGAGAACCCAATTAACCTTTAGGCTATATATATTGGATTAGCAAACGGGCAAGTAGACTGGGCTGCTGGAAATTGTCTGCAACTTCAGACAAAGTTGGTTGATTATTTTGCTTACTCAAATGGTCTTTCGCTATTGCGTATGGGACTTAGCTAAGTACAAGAATACATATATCCATGTTGCTACACATGGTTTCTTCTTGGGGATGATTAATGTTTGTTTCTGCATTCTCATCAGTGAAATGATAATAGTTCATGTGGTTTTTGTGAGTCACCTTGTTCTTGTTGGGGAATAGCTGTAGCAAACTCTTCTTATACTTGCTCCTACCGCACCCCTGTTCTGTCCTCATTAATTAGTGGGAGCAAATAATGTTCTTGGGGTTGAGTCTTCGTTAAGCATCTGTGCAGTAATTGATAGAGGATACTTTCCAGGGGGCTGTTCTGGGCATGATTATCTGCTGGTTGAAAGAATATTCGTTATTAAAAGATTGTTAAAGTGAACTTGAGCAGTTACAGGAAAATAAAGCAACTGTTGTATTTTATGACAGTGTTGCCTGCCCTCAGTAAACTGCATGATGTGATGTTGCTGGTATTTCTTGTCCATGTGGTATTTTAACTATGCTAGCTGTGCTTTGAAGAAACTGTGACGATTTTGCTATTTAATGAACTGTGATGTTATTCCTCTTTATCAAAAGACACCCTGTTGTGCTTATGTGACTTTATATAATGAAAAGTAAATTAATCAAATTCAGTAAGCCAATTTTTTATATGAGAGAAAAACATTGCTGCAGGAGTATAAACGACTCTTTTCCCCAACAAACATTTGATAATGTTTCTATGATGAGATTTTCTGTTTATTGGGAAAATTTTTGGTTTGGTTTGGTTTTTTTGGTCTGGTGAAGTATTTATCTGATGTTACTTGTACTTTTCTTTTTCAGGAAATCCATGACTTACTTAAAGATTACGAAATCAAGTACTGTTATGTGGACAGAAATAAAAGAACAGGTAAGAACTTAAAATCTTCCAGTGTCATATGTTTCAATTCTGTGATAACTGGTGAGGAGCATCATCTGCCAGGTATGAAGTCATCAGCTTCTGTGCTGTCACATAGCTTGATCATCCCTTAGTGCCTTTTTTGGCTGCATAGTTTGTCACCTTCTGCTGAAACCAGTGGAAAGCTGGAAACTTTACTGATATCAGCCAGAAGTAGGTTGCTCCACCACAGTATTTTGCAGGCATATGCCCTTAGTGAGTGTCTCTTTGAGACAAAACTAACCTCAACTATCTGATTTCCTTTGGAAAACTAGTCCTGAGGCCTCTCTTAGGACAAACCATGTGTGCCTATGACATGATCAGAGGAAAATGAACCTAGCTCCAGATGCATTTCTGTCAGGTAATATAAGCCAGAAGCAATTTATTAAAGGAATACTTAAGTCTTTGAAGGAAATGCTGTCCTGAATTAAATCCTGAATTATTTCAGTCTGATCTTCCATTTACGAATTAGTACTCTAAATAGGGGATTCATCGATTTTTAGTGCTTGTGAGGTACAGAAACGGACAAATGTTTCTCTGCATGTCCCTGTCCTTCCAAATCACCATAGGTCTTGCAGCCTGGGCTATGTCTTGAGGCAGCCTTGGTTTCCAGGACAAAATCTTAGTGCCGTCAGATTTCTATCAGGATGTTCTGAGGATAATGATGTTTCTTCAGACCTGCCTGTAAGGACCAGAAATTTATGCTTTACTGTCCCATTATCTTGCAAATTCGATTTCTGAACGTGGAATAAGACCAGTTTGTGTGTGAGGTACTATAGTCTGCTACCTAACAACAGACTGAAGGTCTATATTCAGAGTGAAGGGAAATACTTGAGAATACTTGGAAAGAGTAAGAGGAGGATGAATTTTTTTCATTTAATCTAGATGGTCTCACATATAACCATTTTTTTTTTCTTGTGTTTGTGTTGGTTTTAGAGTGTATATATAGGTGTGTCTTTGTGTGTATATATGGTACTCTTCCTATTAATGTGATTTTTTTAAAAAAAATTTTTTTTTTTTTTGGGTGTGTTTTACTGCATGCGTCCGCAAATTTTTGTGACTGGAATACACTGTAGGTGGTTTATTTTTTTATTGGCTTATCATTTGGATAGATTAAATTACTTTTATCTCTGGATTCATGAAGGCTTTAAAACTGTTTGGAGGCCCTAATGTCATGGAATTTTAACATGTTACTGTACAGTCCACAAAGCTGTCGAGCCTCTCAGCTCTTCCCACTCATGTTCTTTATATTGCAGGTTATTTTTGGTGTTGCTAGTTTTGCTGTGCAAAAGGCAAAAGTTCTGTTAGCAGTTTTGACTGGGTCAGTGGGTGTTTATGTGTATTTATTCCATCTTGTCCAAATAAGTACTGACACAACAGAACAGCCGTTCACCCAAAAGACGGACATACGTATTGTAGTGCAAACTATTTGTGTAAGGAACCCCATTTGTGTAGACTTTTTTAAGCTTTTTTTTTTTTGTTTGATTGATTGGTTTTGGGTTTTTTGTTAGGTAGATTTAATGACTTTTTAATTTAATGGACATAATTGGAACTTTGGTGAGCTCTGTAGATGTTTTGAATTAGATCTTCTAAAATTCTCTTTTCACTTGATCACACAAACTAATTTAAGATTAATGATAAACTTGGGGAAGTAGCCTTGACCTCGAAACATTGGGGAAGAAAAAATCTTATCTTAAGCATCTAACAGTGCTTTTAAACTTTGTTGTGTTCTATCCCTATCTTCTATGTAACTATCCTTAGAATACCAAATAGTATCCTGTTAGAGAAATATGTGATGATATGTCAGAATACGGGAGAGCAAAACAATGGAGATTACCCAGGCACATTTTAATCTATTTGAGAACCAGGTTGCCGATTTCCATGCCATCTCATCTGAGTGCTGGTATACCTCTTCGGTTACGACAGATTGTAAAACCCACTGCAAAGGCATTGCTTGTATGTTAGTACAAACTGATTGTTTTGAGGTTGCATAACAACATTCAGTTTGACTAGAACAGCAAAACAGATCTCAAATATTATGTATATGTCACCAAGATTATAATTTCTCCTTTTTGTTTACTTTGTAAACTGCTATAAGATAGTGACAGACCAGAACTTGCTTTAAAACACCCTGTGTATGTTTATATTTTAAATTGGAAATCCTCATTTAGACTGTTGTAACTAATGATTATTAAGGCATGAAGGAGAATGTTAGTGCCTTCTGGCTGGCTCTAGGACCATGAAGTGGTAAAGATATGGTAGGCAGTACAGTGATCCCTTTGTCCACGGCTGCATGAACCTTCAGTTACCTGTGGGATGATGACAGGGTGCAGATACAGTGGGCATTGCGGAAGTCCCTTTGTCCACTCCTGCGTGTTCCTTCCAGCTGCTTGTGGGACCATGACATGGTACAGAGGTGGTGGGTGTTGTGACATAATGCAGGTACAGAAGAAGAAGGTGCCTGCAATGCTGAGGGTATCTCTGTGTGAAGGGCAGGACGTGTGTCTGTCTTTCCCTGAAATGAACCAGAGGTTTTGCTGGGGATGCTGTGTGCTGTGCACTTTAGTTGGTCACTGGAAGAAAACACATCAATTGGCTTCCATCTGCTTGCTTCACTACAGACTGTTACATCCCCTTTAATTCACAGGGTATGAGGCACAGATGCCAACTGAACCACAGCAGTTCCCCTCTGAACATCAGGAAACACTTTCTCACTGTGAGGGTCACCAAAGCACTGTTACAGGTTGCCCAGAAAGGCTGCGGAGTCTACATCATTTGAGATATTGAGGACCCACCTGGATGTGGTCCTGCGCAACTGGCTGTGGGTGGCTCTGCTTGAGCAGGGGGTTGAACAAGATGACCTCCAGAGGTCCTTGCCAGCCTCATCCAGTCTGTGATTCTGTGAAATGCTTTACGGACTGAAAACCCAAAAAAGATCCAGCAACCCCAGCGTGAGAATTTGTGGATGCTGTCTTTGATGAAACTCAGCAGAATCAGTAATGTGTTGACTTCAGTAGAAAATTGAATTGCTTTTTGTTTCCCAAATGTAAAATTTTGGTGTGTTACAAGTAGTGAAGTTGTGTGTATCTGTGTTTCTGTAGTCACTTTTTGAGTTAATTACTCATGATGTCCAGTTGATAATGCCAAATTTTAACATATATATTACAACATATCTCTCTCTTTCTTGCATCTTCAGGGTAAATCCCAAACTCTTATTTTCCCTGTGACTTATACTGGTGGGTTTTGAGGGGAGGGAGAGGTATAGTAATGACCTCTGTAGCTGAAGAGAAGCTGTGGTCGGTAATACAACTTGTTGTGGTCTCTTACAGCGTTTGTTACTCTGTTAAATGGGGAGCAGGCTCAAAATGCAATTCGGAAGTTTCACCAGTATTCTCTTCGCGGAAAAGAAATATCCGTGCAACTCCAACCAACAGATGCTTTGCTGTGCATTACTAATTTGCCCACTTCATTTACGTTAGAAGAGTTTGAAGAACTTGTGCGTGCGTATGGCAATGTCGAGAGGTGTTTTTTGGTCTATAATGAAGTTACTGGCCATTCAAAGGGCTATGGCTTTGTGGAATATATGAAGAAGGACTCTGCTGCAAAGGCAAGACTGGAACTTCTGGGGAAACAGTTAGATGAGAGCACTCTCTTTGCACAGTGGATGGATGTGAACCAGCTGACGACAAATCTTATTCACTCCAAGTGCCTTTGTGTAGATAAATTACAAAAAGACTATGCTGATTCAAAAGAACTGCTCCAAGCATTCTCACTGAAGTATAAACCCATTTTCTGCCAGGTATGTTGAATTTGTATCTTTTGGAACATCATGGACATGATTTAAGTAGCTCTGTATTTGTATCTCCAGTGCTTGCTGCCTTATCCTTTCATTTTTCATTTAAGTTGTGAATGGTTATGCATCTGCATTGCAATATATGATGTGGTACCGATGCTTTATTGGTATGGGTTTGCAGTGATTGGTCAATGTCATCTAGGAGTTCTGCAGGAGACCATTCCTATGAAGCGCCAATAAAATGTTTGTAAGCCATCCTCTCCTCATATATTTTATTGGAAATAAATTTTAGAAATATTTTAGAGAGCTTTTAAAGTAAACGTTGATGATGATTTTATTGCTCAGTAAAGAAAGCCAGAGTGTATGAATACCATGAGTGCAACGATGTAGGTGATGAAGAATATATATGTGTATAATTAATATACATAAGAAACCTCTGCAAATATCTAATGTGTTTTGTCCCAAACTGGCGAAGGTGTAGGCTTGGGATCTTATAGTCATCTGGGCTTGCCAGCGGTAGAAGTGGTACATCTTTTGGAAAGCTCTCGGGTACAGAAGAGGTAGATCCTTGCTAGTCTTTGCAGGTGTAAAATTTCCTTCTCATCATTGTGGCTTGTGAGATAGTAGACCACAACTAAAATGTTTCTTGTAGAATTGGTGCAGCCCAGCGTACCATAAACAGGCAGTAGAAAGAAAGCTTGCTTTATAGTCACATAGTTTGGTATGATTTCAGTTGTTTATTTGGTTTGCTTTGGGTTTTTTTTTTTTCTTAAGTATCTTGGAAGACTGCTCAGGGATTAACTTTGGGGATAAGTAACCAGAGATTCTCAGCATCAAAGACTAGAAGGTCCATCAGGCTGTCTCGTCTGACCACCTGCAGGCTGTCACAATTTCCCTGGTGCTTTTTTCAAGCCCCAGTAATTTGCAGTTGGCTAAAGTACATCCTTATACTCTCTTGATCCAAATATACCAGGAGATGCATAAATTGGAAGTAACTCTTCCCAGAAGCTGCCCATCCCTTGTAGTTTTGTACTTGTGTCTGTGTTCTCAGTGTATCTGGCTTCAGCTTCACCTCACTGATGACTAGATTGAGGAGGCTTTGCTCCCCACTGTTTTCTTCCTGTAAGAAGGTATTAAATGCTGTAATCAAGGCACTTGCTCAATGTTTGTTTAATTAGCTAAACAGATTGGTCTTCTAAAGTCCTTTACTTCAGAGCTTTTTTCCAACTGTCAGATAATTCGGAGGCTGCTACCAGCTCCCCCAACAATTTTTCAACATCCTTTAAAAATTCTGAGGTTCAAAGAATAACAGGCTGCTTTATCAAAGATGGCTTTCACTAACAGTGTTCTACTGTGTAGTTAGAGGCACTTAAAAATTTACTTTTACCTTCCTTCTTAAATCATAGTGATACATGGGTCACAGCTGGTGTAGGTGAGGAGGATCTGTTTGTGTATGCATTCTGTTGGTAAATGGCACTAAATACATGTTTCTATAAAATACAGGGATTAAACAGTGTGCTTTTGAATTAGGAAACAGGCACCCAGTCAAAAATATATCCAAGAAAACATTCTTGGCACGTTCTTGAGTTACCTATCACCTGCATAAACACACTAATAGGTGGATCATGGGAGTATGATAATAGAAGAAAAATAGGTTTACTTATGATAACGTAGGATTTATTCTCAGTGATTCTCAGAGAGTAAACGTGTGATTTATTCTCAGTCATGCCTTATGTTTCCACTAGGCATCCAGCAGGTACTGACTGGTAAGGGAGACTCTGTGGGGAGGGGCAGCAGAGGTGCTGGTTTGCAGACATAATGGGTGAGTGATGGAGGCAAACCCCATGGGCTAATGGGGGAAGCAGCCCTCCTGAGAGGGAAGATATGAGGGTGGAGGTGAGTTAACAAGTAGTTCAAATTTGATAGATGAAAAAGGGAAGATGACGGATGATTCTCTTCATAGTAGTGCTAATTATATATATATATTTATGGTTTTTTGAGTGAGATGACCTAAAAATTAAATACAAAGAAAGGAGAAGGAGGAAGACGCAAGAAAGTGTGGAAAAAGCAAGGAGGGGTGTGTGACGTGGTGGGTAGAGACATAAGAGGAAAACTAGGAGAGGACAGGGTAGCAGAAACCTGGGTGGGGAGGGAATTTCAATAGACAACCACTGGAAGTGCCTTTGTCTGGAAAATGTCTCCTGGAAGAATTAATATGTTTTAGAAAAACAATTAAAATGTTAGTTCACACTCCTTTTATTTCATGTCTTCGTGACTACAGTCTCTCTTTTCCTTCCTTTTCCTAGTCTTGGCTAATCCAGCCTTCACACTGCTCCTGCACTCAGATTGTCCCTCCAGTAGGGTCACTTAGACCGTTTTGCCCATCTGCTGGCTTCACTAACATAGCTGTCTTGTGCTTCTTTCATGGCTTAATTCTGCTGGTAACTGATGCAGTATTTCATCATGCAAATATGATCTTTTACCTAAAATTCTGTCTTTGTTTAATCAGTTGTTCTATCACCCAATGACTCGCCACCCAAGGAGGATAATTGGGAAAAAGAAAGGAGACTCACGGGTTGAAACGGAAACAGTTAATAAAATAATAATATATAATACCAATATAAAGGCACAAAGTTATACTTGGCCCATGTAGTGGTTGTGAGGAGCGTGCTCCCAGCAGCAGATGCTAGATGTCACATGCCACTGCAAGCACCACAGCTCCAGCGACAGTCACCACAACAGAGGAGCAGGACTCGGGAGTGGAATGATGGGCAAGACCCTCCAGGGATGGGGACTATTGAGGAAAAGAGGCCGCTCCCAGCAACCTTTCCAGTTTATAGCAAGTGTAGTGTTTACGGTACAGAATACTTCTGTTGGCCAGCTTGAGTCGGCTGCCTTGGCTTTCCCTCCTCTTAGCATTAGCACCTGGCTAACTAGAAATTGCTAAAGACCTTGATCACTATGGAGACCCGCATACCAGGCTGGCTATGAACTAAAACAGTGTCTTATCAGCTTTGTTCTCACTGAATTGGGTACTGCAGCCTTCTCAGAAATGCAGCGTTCCTTTTAGAAAGTAGAATCTGTGATTCTATCCCAGTGAAACCAGGACAAATTCTTAGCTGAACTCATGAAATAAACCAGAGTTTATACTATGGTTTATTTCATGTTATACCAAAGTTAACGTTTTTTGAAATCAGTTTGATTTCTTCTTCTGTTGACAATAGAAGTCTTCTGTCAGGAAGAGTCGAAGCCAGATAATTATACATGGGTCTTAGAAAAATGGTTTTTCCTAGGAATGACAGGAACATATTTTGTCCTTTGCTTCAGCAAAATGGACCAGAAAACCTCATTCCTTTCTTATGTCGACTTTAAATTGTCACTAGGTCGTCTCCACTGTTACCTAGATAGGGACAGAGGGCTTTTATTCAGTACCTGTTCACCTGGGAAGTTTAAAAATTCCTGATCTGTTTGCAAGAATGCTTTCACGTGTTAAGGGAGTTTTAACTGTGCATGTAACTACAAGTATGTTCCATAGCTGCAAACCATTCTTTTCACAGGTACTTCAGGTCTTTACCCATGCAGCTAAACTGATGTCAAAATAAAATACAATGCTTCTGCACATATACACACATACATATACATAACAGATACATAGCTTGTGTGTAGTTATGTATCAAAATATGTGTGTTCACCAGAGCTCTTCCCAGAGGCCAGTCTTTAACAGTGGCATTAAAGATCTCAGCACCCTCTTTTTCTTCAAAATCTTTGAGATTTATATTTCAATTGTTAGTGTAAGTTTGTGGGACCTAATAACTCAGAACAGGTTGTTTTTATCCAGTGAAATCTAGAAGAGATTTCCTCTCTTCCACATCAGAGCTAGTATCAGTATGTCGTTTTGGGACTGGAGATTTTTGTCTAAGCTTTATTCCCTCCCTTTTCACCCCCTTTTTTTGTTTGATTTAAATCTGCTCATTCTGCTATAAAACTCTGCAAACAAAGGATGGAGCACTGTTGGACACATAAGCCTGTTTCCAGTCTGCTTGATTGATCAGTCTGGCATCTTCTCTTGGCATTAAATACAACCACAGTCTTCATATTCTCCTAAAAGGCAGTATGTATCAGTGGAATGTGCATTGTTACGTGTTTCAACAACTATCATACAGTCTGATGAATGACATTATTATTATTGTAGGCTTAAAAACTGAACAATAATGCATTTATAATTCTTATCTTGCAAAGTGAAAATACAGCTGTGTTCACAATTTCCTTCTCATTCCTTCTTTATTTTGAAAATATGTGTTAACTACATTTCATAGCTCAGGCTAGGTTGGGATTAGATTGAAGCGAAGGTGGTAAATCAAGTAGCTAGAGCACACATGCTGAATATCAGATGCAGCTATGATATTTAACTTATATCTAGCACATTTGAGAAAGAAACATACTGATTTGGGTAGAGGTGAACATAAGGCGTCAATGGTTTGTGAAGCATTTTGCAGGCAGATAGGTGAAAACATTGCAAGGCAGTGCCTGAAACCCTGCGTTTTGCTCAGTGTACTGTGAAATTTTGTTTCAGTTTGCTCAGGATGAAGACAGTTGTATTGGTGACTTTGCGGTGGTTGAGTATGAAACTGCGGAGCAGGCTGAGAAAGTACAAGAAGTCACTGATGGCATGACTATCAAAGGAAAGAGAGTCCAGGTGTCGTACTGTGCTCCGGGAGCGCCAGGCAGAAGCACGTTAGCAGCACTTATAGCAGCGCAAAGGATGGTAAGATATTTGCAAATCTGTTTTCAGAATGGGTTTGGTACACCTTGAGCAGCCTGAGCTGGGTCAGAGGAATTCAGCTGCTTTTCATTCAGAAAAGGAGCCAAGCTTTTGGAAGCGTTAGCCTTTTGTTTGTTTGTTTTTTTATCTGGACAGCCCAGTTTGGTCTCCTTCCTAGGAAAAGCATGGCCATATGCTGCAAGGAGGAAGGGTGAAATACGGCCATAAGATATCGCAAAGTTATACTTGCATAGCTCTGGGATATTAGTAAATTCGATTTTCTGTATGAGAAGTTGTTCCGGTTCAAAACGAAAGTAACTGTAAGTGGAGTCATTTGACAATTAAAGCTTGGTTTAAAACAAAGAGGCAAGAATTTGTCTATTTTAAGATAAATTTCAAGGTAGGAGAAATAGTTTAATTTCATGCCTGATATAGAAGAAAGCTTTTTACACCCACATGTCTTATCAAATTATTTCCTAGAAAATTGGATGTGATAAGTGTTACGTGGAGCTGTCTTAAAAGTAGAAGCAGAACAGGCTCATTATTTCGGCTAGCTTTAGCCCACATCTTTATAAAAGAGATGAGTGGTGCTATTGTAAGATAGTGTGTGGTGTTCGCGTTAGCGGTGCCTTTCACGTTCTCCTTTATTGATAACTGTATTGGTTTAAGGGGGGGGGGAGAAGAGGCATCCCAGGAAAAATAATACGCTTGAAGTTTTGGGGGAATAGTTTCTTAGGTGTTTTATTTGAGGGAAAAGGAGCATGAAAAGGAACAGGATACAGGGAAGGAGATGCTGGGATTATTTTTTGTCTAAAATATGTACATTACCATCGCACAACTTTGAGGGATTTAAATGTATTCTTTGTTTTCTCCTGATCCTAACATTTTTGTATCTCTCTCAATTGGAGATGAGGAACAATAGGAAAGGCTTGCTTCCTGAGCCAAATCCAGTGCAGATCATAAAAAGTTTTAATAATCCAGCAATGTTGCAAATGCTGCTGCAGCCTCAGTTGCGTGGACATGGTGTTAAACCTGGTAAGTTGTTTTAAAACTGTGTTTAAAAAAAAAAAGAAATCCTGTTCTTTGTGATATAAGGCTTTAAGCAAAGGAGAGAAGCAGGAATACCATTTTAAAATATGTGCAGACACTGTTTCAGTGTGTCTGTGTAGACAATTTCACATTTTATGAAAGCAAAAGCAAGAGGTGGACTGCTACACTGTTGTGTCTGGGTAAAATTTAGTGTTACCTCAAAATGTGCTCACGTTAACTCTGTGGTCTCTGAGTGTTTTTATTAGAAATGGGTTTGAAATGAAATATCTTTTGCAGTCATCATTAAAATAGCAAGTTTAAATCTGATTCTGGATTGGAGTTTTGCAGCCTGAGTCTTTCTCCTGTTGTTTCCAATGTAAGTCGTTATTCACTTGGGTGCTATCGCAGTTGAACACAGCATTCCATAACGGCATTAGCCAAAAACATTTCTTTGCCTTCTCATTAGGATGGATGTGAATAAACATATTAAAAATGGTCTTACCACATTTCAAATGGTGAAAGTATTAGGAAGAGGCGTGAGAACAGATAATTTGAGGAGTCAAGTGGGGACAGTGAAGAGTTTGTGACATAATCTCCTGACAGAAGATACATGGAAATGTTGTGTGACATGACCACTTTAGTGAAGAAACACTTTAGCTGATGCTGAAGTTTCAAAGCAATTTAGATAATGCTATGATATTACAGTCTCAACTGCAGGTATTTCTGCATCTTCGAGCAGAACTCTCAGTTTTAGAAGAGCTCCGTGAAAGTACATCTGATCTCCAATATGCTGTTAACTGCAGATCAAAGCTGGGTGTGTTGAAAGGTGTATGGTGACCTTTATAGTATACAGTGACCTTTAGTGTATTATCACTTATAGTGACCTTTAGTATACTTGAAAATCTTGTGGAAACCAAATGTGAAAAATACAGAAGAACTCTTCTAAAGATCTTTACTTGCCTAACTTATAAAACACTGCAACTTTGTCTTCTGTTTCTAAAACAGTTCTTGGAGCATCTGCAGGTTTACCGCACCTTATCAATTCAGCAGTTGGCCCACCTTTTTTGCAGTTGAATAAAATTCATCAGGTATGTGGAAAAAAACCCTTTTGTCAAAATACATATTTGTGGAGATCTTGGCATGGAAAATATTCTCAAAGTTGTAAGAAATTACAACTAAAATCAAGTGTTCTCGTTAAAGCTCTAAGACAAGCACCCTATTACGAGATGTCTACGGGGATGTAAGAGCAGACTGCTCACTCTCTGCAAGTGAGTTATTTTTATCTTAACTGAGCTTTTGATTTGCAAACACCTGCCGATATGGAGACAATTGGCCATTGCTGGCCAAAAAAATCCTCTTTAAATTAGAGCTCTAGGAGCATGGCCTATCCATTTCTCTTGGAGCTGCCCTGTAGGGACTTGATTGTTTTGTCTTATTCAAGCCAAGAAGCTGAACATCATTATCTTCCTTTTAAAGCTTGCGGGGACCAAAATGTGCTATATATGCCATAAAAAATATAGTAATTTGTAGGTGTTACTTCTTTGTCAAACCCCCCTCAATGTTATGAGCTGTTTAAAGTGTTCTCAGGAGTATCTGTAATTGACTGTAAAGTTGTTACAACTAACATACAGACAGCAGAATTTCTGAAAGATACTACAAAGAATATTTGGGATGAGTTTGTCCTAGACATTGGTGATGAGAATATGCTAGAGTAGCACCCACACCAGAACTCCTCCCTGCAGCAATTCACTTGCCCAGTAGCCTGTCTGGTCTCCGCCTTGCATTGAGGTTCTGTCAGAGATTTCTCCAGCTCTGCCAGGAGCTGAAATTTGCCTTTAATGTTCATAGTAGGGATTTTCATAAGTATCTGTGAGGGACTGGAGTCAATCGCTTTGACTTACTATTTCTGGTGCTTGAGAAACTCCTATTTAAAAAATACTCCCCTGAAGTAGTTCTTATTTCTGCTGTTGTTTTGGCAAACACAGACTTATAGATCTTAAAAATGACCAAAATAGAAAAGCTAAATACACTTAACATAAGGAGTATCTCTGCATTTTAATTTTTTTCTGCTAAAAATGGGAGGTCAATATATTAATTTTGAATAAATAATACTTTGCCCCATCAAATGAGTTGCTTTTGTCCCATACAATGAAAAAAATAAATCATTCTTTGCTTGTACTCCTTTTATTTAAATGACATTTTCAATTGGTATGTTTAGTTACTGCTGCTCTGCCTTCAGCCTTGGAGAGTCTGTGCTTCCTTGGAAGGCAATGTGGATGTTTTCTAATCACAGCTGGAGACAGGCATGTTTTACACAGTTAATGGTGTGATTGATGATGATCCAATGCTTTTTGGCTTAGGAGTGCTGCAGCCAAAGAACTCTGTGTTTTCTCTTTAGAGAGACTTACAAGTCGTAATTCGCTTCCAGGGAGCTTCCTGTCATTTAACTAGCTCCAAACCTGGTCAAATAGCCCAAAATTTATTGACACTGATTTGACTATCCTAATTCCTTCTGAGGCACATTTTTCTGTTACTCAGTGACTTACTTCAGAGCATCCTCTAAAGCCAGACAACCAGGTCACCATTTTTATTATCTTGAAATTCAGTATTGTCACAAGACAGGGGGACAGACAGTGCCTTGGCTTGGTTCTCTCCCCACCTCCCCAGTCACACACTGATTCAGCTTCCTGTATGTCTTGAGTTTGCTATTTTATATTCAAGGTCTTGTAACATAGTAAGAAGAAACAATATTTTTAGGATGATTATGCCACAACATTTTAAAATAATTGATAAAAAACGATTCAGCAGAGAGGAATTTTAACAAATGGGTTATTTATTCAGTAGTCTTTCCACTCTGGAGATAGCATGACTTTCAGCTTCTTTCTTTTAATTTCTCTTAGTTACAATTACCGTGTTCCAAAATAATGCATTTTAACTTTGTCAGTGATGTGTTTTCCTCAGTCATTCAGCAGTTTATTAAATCTTCATTAACCCAGAGACTTTCTTGTGAGGATGCTAACCAAACTGATTTTCCACCCTCGTGTTTCTGAAAGTTTTATCATTGAACTAACATGTTTTCTTTATGGATGTAACCAAGTTTAGAAGGAACAATCACTGGTATTGGTGACAGTAAACAACCCTGGATAATGTCTACTGGAAATCACTAAGACAATTAAAATAGCAGATGTGTAACTAAGCTAGATATGGCACTTCTTCTTTAATTGCACATTTCTGAGTCCAGAAGACCATGTTATAGACATAGAGGTTTTTTTCCTAGGGAATTTGACCCTAACATACAGCGATACAACCTAAACTTGAAAATATTTGCGAGGTGTTTTGCAGGAAGCTGCAAAATCTGCAAAGCCATACATTGCAGAGCTGCCATCTTTTTGGGTTCCATCTTGATTACCTGGTTTTGGTGACCTTTTCTATGTAGGAGATTTCAGAAAACTGAGGGAGCCTATACTCATTGTGATTTGACACAGTCAGTGTCCCATCTATCTATTCTTGCACCTCTGTGCAAAAAGGTTTGTAGAGCAACCTGTATTTTGCCTGGCAAACTATGTTTAGGAGCTGCTGCCAGAAACACAAGTCTGAAGCCTGTGTTCAGCTAACAGGAATCAAAATGTGGTTTTGTGATCCAGAGTGGATGTGGAGTTTCTTTGAAGCCCTGAGCTAGCCAGAGCACATAACACTGAATATACCAGTAGCAGAGTCTGAGTGTGGTGCCCCAAAGTTGCAATTAAGTGGCTCAATTCTGGTGGCAAACTGATCCAGAAATTTTTGAATTAAAAATATTAGTATTTTATAGACTTGACAGTTTGTAGGCACTGTGGTTTGTTAGCTTTTTAACGGTTCTGGAATGGAATTCCATGTAGATAGCTGCCACTAAAAAAAAGGAAAAAAGCGTACCTGGATATTCCTCTTTGAAAGTAAAGATGCTGTTTGGTAACTGTAAAGCAAGGGATGAGAGTCCCTGCCAGTCACAACAGAGTCCTGCAAACTGTATAGATATTTGGCAGAGATTATGTATTAGAATTGCAATGCAAGGCACAATGCAGATGTTAACAGACAATGAAGTCCTTATTCATAGAGCTCTCGTCCCCTGAAGTCCTTGTGTCTCATCTTTCTTATTGGCGCGGTAGGTAACTCCCCTAGCTAGCCTGTCTGCAGAGGCTTCAACCACATACAGCTTTCCCTGTTGGCTTAAACACAGGGGCTGCAGCGGAGCCTGAATTGTATTTGGAGTGTACTCTTGATCCTTCAAAAGCTGTCAGAAAGCATTCTTGTGATTGTGAGGTGGAAAAAAAAAAAAGGGCTAGGCAGAAGAGAGGTTAAAAAAACTTGAAGTAACTTTCTATGAATGAAGCAAAAATGTAGTTCTGTGGAGGAAATACTTTTCCTTTGCTGTATTAACTCAGAAACAAATTTAAATTTCTTTGAGCAGTATCATCTGAAAATGTTTCAGGAATGTACTGTTTTCCATGACTGTCAACCAATGCTGCTTTTAATAATTTCAGAGTTCAATTCTGGGGAGTACATCTAACTTACTGCTGCAGAGCCCTGCTCACCTGCCATTGCCACAGCAGCAACTGATGAAGATTGAAAATCTTCAGGCTAATAGTGTAAGGTCATCGCTTCAACTTCAACTGTCTTTGGGCATTCTTATAACTGATAAATCAAATAGTTCTTTTCATCTAGTGTAATTTAGTGTATCTAAAAAGATTAACTGAATGTGAAAATTATAAGAAGTAGCTACAGACAGATTATTTTAATCATTTACACAGTTTTCTATTCTTCCTTATAGAAACCGGGTTTGCTGGGAGAACCTCCAACAATGCTACTTCAGACAGTACTGGGAATAGGGGTAATGCCATCAGTGAGTTCAGGCATGGGAACCCGTGGAGAAGCTCTTAAGTGTAAATGACATTTTATTTCATACCGGATCAGTAGAAATGCTCAGCTTGAAATTCTGCACCTACTTTCTCCCACTTTAGCAAAAGCAATAATGTGTTTGAACCTTGTCCCTGCACAGTAAGGTAGGCAGAGAGCTGGACAACAACGCACGTTACATAGCTGTAGAGTTAAGCAAGGTAACAAGTTCTACGTCTGCATAACCAACTGTAACCTGCTGGTTTAAGCAGGAAGCAAACTTGAAATATCTTGCCTTGATGCCTGGCTTCTCTCACCTGTTTGTCCAGGAAGAAAGACTACACTGTGGCGTTGGTTGAATGTTTGCAGGTTGTTAAATATCCTGCTTGCTCAGTTGCTACCATTTTTGGCACACTTGGAGTGAGTTTTTATTTAGGAACAAAATTGTGGTGTTTGTTTTTTCAAAGCAGATACATCTGAGTAGCTGAAGTGGCACCACAAATAGATTTTTTTTTCTTTTGCATTCATTTCATTAAGCAATAGAGCTTTAACGCCCAGTCTGTGACAGATGTCAATTCTGAATGGAAATTTCTGTGCCAGTGGTGCCCTCAATTTTCATGAGGAAAGATCAGTTGTGATGCTGCTTAGTGCATCTTTTTTCGTTACCTCTGCTGTATTCTGCAGTTCTAGACATGGTCTGAGTAATGGTAGTAACCAGGAGCAAGGAGAAGCTTGAGGTTGGGCGGGGGCAGGGGCAGGAAAGAAAGCTATGCTGACTGCCTAGATTTTAACTTTGGAAAATACTTTCTAGCTCTTGTTTGTAAAAAGGAATTTTAGTAACACCAGTTGAGGTGAAGTTTTTTCCCCTCTATTCCAATAGAGGATCCTCTAGGATGATGTTCACAGGTTTTTTGAAAGTGACAGGAAACACTAAGTAACTTCTTATTGTAGTGAACATTTAAAAAAGTCAGAGTTTTCTTCTATTGTATTAGCTTTAGAGTTGTTTGCTCCTGGGATAGTAAAAGAACAAAAATTATCATCAGAATCCAGTGTTCTGGGACAGCTGTAAAATAGGTCTCTAAATGTTTTCCTCATCACTTAGTAAAAACCACAAACAAAATGTACAGATAAATCTTGTCTAACAGAAAAGTTTCTCCATTTATGGTTGACTGCAGCATCTAATCTGACTCCAATTCAAACAGCAGCAGCAGCAGCAGCAGGGATGGGCATGCTGCCATTCTTTCCGAATCAGCACATTGTTGGACAAGCTATACCAGGGCAAAATAACTCTCCAGATAAACAATCGACTACCGAAGCGGTTGTCTCGGGATCGCAGCCTTATCATCAGACCTTAACAAACCTTTCTGCGGGAGCTTTGCGGGCTGGGCATGCCAAGCAACAAAACCAACTAAAAAGTACTGATACAAGTTTGGGGGTAAGGAACATTGAATACAAATCTTTTCTGTTTTCTTGTGTGCAAGTTTTCTCTCTCTTGTTTTAACATGCTTAAGAGTTAACTGCAACTGCTTGTTGTAGTTCTTCACTATAAAATTTACTAGATCACAGGATCATTCATGAGACATTTTAAGGTCATTTCAGTTGTGAATAATAGGGAGAGAACAATAATGCCCTTTGGTGGTCCAAATGAATTAACAAAGGAATCTTTTTACAATGCTGGAGTTTTATTTTTTCCATGTGTGTGCCTCATAGTATTTGATGATGAAATTATCTCAAGGGCAATGTAGCATTTAAAGACTGAAAATTAAACTTGTGGCTGAATTTCATGACTAATCAGGAGCAATTCTGGCGGTATGTAGGGCCTTTGGGTTTCCAGGTGGCATGTATGTATATACGTGTAGGTACATTTTCCACTTTTAATACATAACCTCTTAGCCATAGCTGAGAGAGGCTGTATCAGTTTTAATATTTATTCCCTTGAAGGTGGAGGGAATGGGTCTGAACCAGAATGGTCTAGTTTTTTCGGAAATTTTTTCCCATCATTAACAGAATTTACTTTTTTTATAATATACATAAATACTTTGATATTTATGGGAAATGTTCTTAATTCAGACCAGATCTGTGTTTTCCTTCCATATTTCTGAAGCATCTGAAGTGATAGATGATATACAGTATTGGTGTTAGCCTTTGTTAGACAGCTTTGACACTTTTGGTCCTACTTCAAAAAGTACACTTTTTGGGGTTTTTTTAAATAAATTTTACTGTAATTAAGTGGAATTTTGCCTATGTATAGACACACATGGCTAAAATACATAAGGGTGTATGTGTATACATACATAAAATCAGTGTTTTATTTCCACATTTCATTTAGTTAAAAGGAAATGTATAATTAAACCATTAGCAGTCTAGATAATTAATTAATTTCTATGAATATTGTTTAATTGTTTCCTTTTCTGCATCAGTAGACAGAAGGCCCAGTTTGCAAAAGTCACTTCCTTGACAAGACAGCTGCAGTCTATATGCTGATACGGTCACGCTATCTTAAATGCCTGCTTTTGTTTCCAGATAAGGATTTCAGCACTCTATTGAAACTTTGGGTTTAAAAACTGGTCTCGCTGGTTTTGAAAAATGGTTGATGAATAGTCTTTTACTGAAAATAGTAGTGTACCCTTCCTAGTCCCTCATAGGAAATGCTTCTGGTGGTTTGGAGGAGTGAGTCAGTCCTGACACTTCATTTCCACTCATAAACATTTTCCACTTTTAAGTAAGGGCTTATAAATAGAGTGATCAGTAAGATGTGTTACGATGACAGACTGCTGGGTCGTGTCTTCAGGCCAAGGTTCGTTTGGCCTTTATTTGCTTGTGACTCTGGGTGAAAAGAGTTGATTTTGGCTGGGCCCTGTACTTAATGCTGACTGTCTGCATCTGGGGCCATTAGGGTTGTTATGATTCTTTAACTTGAACGTAAAAGGTTTTCTTTTGTTTGTTTGTTTTTTAGTATCCTTTAGTAACTTACAGTCTAAAGAGCAACATTCTTACAAAATTATTTGGCAAGAAAAAAGTACAGGTGATGTGTGACCAGATAGTTGTCCCCAGTATTTATTTTAAAAGTTTTCCTGTTACGTTCCACAGGGCTAAGCTTTTTTCAAAGTCCTGTGGGGACACTTCCCTTGTTTCTGACAAATGTTTTATGAATATAATGCACACTGACCTGCCCAATTGTTTCACAGACTCCCTTGAAAAAACAGACTTCGCTGCTAGGAGAACCACCAAAAGAAATACGTCTTAGTACCAACCCCTACTTGAATTTGGCAAGTGTGTTGCCTGGTATATGTCTTCCAGGTAAGCAAGCATTTAACAGCTTTAGCAGCAAGTTTCCTTGTCCAGAGTGTGGCAAATCAGTATTCTGTTGGGCAGGTAGTTCCAGTTACAACCTCAACATTTATCTTGAAGGAAATCTTGTAGCCTGTCTTAAAATCATGATGTAATCTATCCTCATAGTTAATATTTTATTTGGGAAGGGTAAATTTTCAGAGTTAAAGGGCTTACTGATGTAGACAAACTTCTAGAAAGCCTTTCAATTGTTAGTAGCACTGATTAATTTTGAGCACAGCCTGATCTGAAGTACCAGATTTCTGTTGTAATCCCAGAATATTGCTAAACAAGAGTGCCACCTCATTTGTGCAGTTTGTGCAAACCATGTCTTCATTGTGTTACGAACAGCGATTGCCAGCAAAGCCTCTAGTCCACCGCAGCAGACTGGACTTTCGAACATCGTGGATGCTGCTGTGTCTCAGGGAACTACATCACAACACGCAGTGGAGAATTATTTGAATTACTCTCAACAGCATGGGGAGTACACGCAGGTATGTTGTTTTGCAGTGCTTTCTTCTGAAGCCTGCTTTGTCACTCGGTCGCAGGATTTTTGGCAGAGGTGTGCTCAGAGATCCCTCCCTGAGCTGCTCGTTGTTTTTCTCTGTGTACTTTTAATGCGCTTCTTGCTACACATGTGGTCTGATAGCCCTGTATGCAGTGGAACAGCATTGCCCAACATCAGGTACCGCTCTGCAAGGGTTCCCGGGCTTTCCCACAACCCCACCCTTTTCATCAGACTGAACCTTGTAGGTCCTCCTCACTGACAGTTTATCTCTTTCAGTGTACAGAGTAGTTTTGGCACAAAGTACACCTAATGCCTGTCAAAAAAAAAAAAAAAAAAAAAAAAAGAAAAGCTTCAAGACATTCCCTGCTGCAGTGTCATAACCACAGAAAGATTGCTTCTTGAGAACGTGAATTTGGTGCAGTCGGCTAAAAAATTACTGTCTTATAACTTCTGGCTTGGCTTTTGTCTTGTCTTCAAAACCATAAAGTTTTTCTCTTTTCCTTCCCAAGAATTTTTCCAGGTTTCTTGTGCTTTGGCTAGGTCCCAGAGAAGAGTGTGTTCTGTCTAACAGAAGTTCCTGTATAGCTTGGGGAATTCTTGCAGGCTCTGCCAGCTGGTTTCACTGCATGGAATTTCTTCCCCGTATGCCCATTGGGTGATCGGAGCATGGTAATTGAGGTGGAGGGCTGCCCCTGATCTGGAGAGTGTTGCAGTACTGGGCTTCACAGACATCGCGACGCTCTGTGAAATAACATTTCCATATTTCATTAGCCATCACCGGTCTGTGTAGAAACGTAATTATATACAAATCAAATACGAGAACTGGATCATGGTACCAGCAGGTAATCTGTATAGAAATCTTGGGTCTGCGCTGAGACACCCACCCTGGCTCTGCCGTAGGTCTCCTCCTGCCCTGTCCCCATCACCTCCTCCCCAGAGTCGCCTGATCTCCCCTCCTGTGGCAGGGAGACAGCAACGAGCTGCGCTCCCCTCCCCGAGGCTGCTGATGGCGAAATCTGTGTTTCTGCAGAACTCCTAGGGTAGAGCAGGGCCGCTGTGGACGTTGGTTGGGTCTGGAGGACAGAGGTGTGGCTGGACATAGGGGTTCTTTTGTGTTAGGAGGGTCTCAGCCTGGCCAGGAGGGCTGGAGGGGATGGGCTTGCTGCACGGCATTGGCTGCAGCAGGGAGCTTTGCCAGGGGCCAGACCTTCTGCTGGTCAGATCAGATGTGGTGACAGTTGTGGGTTAGAGAAGCGAGAGAGATGTCCTGCGGGACTTTGTGCCCTGTGTTTCATGTGAGCACTAACTTAGTTCTGAGTATTGTGTTTGAATCTGGTTATTTGCTTCAAATTCGTTTTGATGCCCCCAGGAGGTAGTTCCTAACCCCAAATCCTTAAAATACTGTCCAAAAAATAGTAGTATTGCAGTATTAGCATTATTAGTATTATCTTAGTAACGTGAAGGACTCAAACGATGTCACTTAGGTGCAGAGATGCCCCATGTCATCATTCAGCTATATTTGTGCTGTCTGCTCCTTCCATGTGACAGAAACGCTTGCATCTGCTGCCAAGGCAGCGATGCCTCGTGTATCTTTTAAGCACTTAACGTAGTTTTAAATGTTTGGTTTGAGCTTTATCGCTGGTCTTAAACATGTTTTGATGCTTCTTGGAGAGCTTTGCGTGTGATTCATTCTCGTGTCCTGCGAGGCCATAAGAATTGTTTTCGTTTGAAGCGATCATAGTAGACAGCTAATGGGAAGAGGTTTTTTCCTCCTTTATAGGAGGCTGTTCAGCAGTGGTATCAGCATTATGCTCAGGCATATAACTCTACCCAGGCAAGAGTCGATGAATTTGAAAATGAAGCCTCTGAGGTGAGAAATAATTTTATTTTCTTCCTGTCTCCATTGGCTGTTTCTCCCATCAGCTGTAAGGGTGCTTTTGGAGTCTGGACACCTGCTTTGTTTGTTGGTAGTGGCTGCTGCCGTCGGTACTGCAGAAATAAGGGGCTGGAGAGCGTGGGGACGAATGGCACTGCATGGTCACCACCTGCAGGGCATCCCTGCACAGTTACTCTCCAGGTTTCATACTCACGCTTTTGACTATACCTGGCGTAAATACTCCTCTCTCTAAGATCTCACAATCCAAAGTTACCTGTAAAGTTCAAGAATGTATTAAAATACTCCTCTTCAGGAACAGCACACCATAACGTTATTTTGCTGTGAGTCTGTTGAAGGATTGTTTCTCACCCAGGCCATTATACAGCCCAAGGTTTCTGTGACCAAGGAAAAGAACAATTTGGGTTTTTTTTTTTTCAAGGAATTGTGTGAAGTAAACCATCCCCCAAAGCCTCTGTTTTGCTCAAGAAATCGCTGCATGCCTGAGCTGCTGTGGATTGTACACTCCTTTTTAGCAACTGAGTGTGACTCAGATATTTTCCTGTCTGCTGAGTGCTCATTACTCTATTAAGTGAAAATGAATTATTAAACCTATTTTCTTTCAACTTCTGGTTGATCATGGATCCCATTCTGCATTTAGGAATCTACAGGCGGATCTTACCCCGACTACAGTACCTGCTTGCAGGTCTTGCCTACACTTTACAGTGGAGCCCAGGGATCACACCAGCCAGGCAGCTTGCAGCTTCCTCCACAAAACCCATTAAATAAGGTGAGAGGAGAGACCGAGCAGAGTGGTTGCAGATGCAGCCCGAGCCAGCCGCTGGTGGAAGCGCTTCTCATTTGTCTTATGCTGCCACCGAGTGGTCTTTGGACCCACAACAAGCCGAGGCAGAGCTTTCCCACTGCACCCGCATTCCTCCGGATGCCGACTGGCTCAGGATTTCACGCAGCTCCTGGTGGATGTGAAAAATAAAAGCAGTGGTTGGGCAGGGTGTGCCAGTGCCAGACCCCCTCGGAGCCCTCCAGGACCCTGGAGATCAGTGCTCCTCGCTGGCCAGAAACCACCAAAACCCAGAGGGAAAGAAAGGCTGGATCTTTGTGAACAAACGTCGTGGAAAGGTGGTATCTGTGAGGGTGAAAGTGCAGAGGTGCCTTGAAGGAGGCAAATAAGGTAGGAAGTTAGCAAAGGAGGAGGAGGTAGTTCATTCACACTGGTTTTAGATAGGATTTTTTGCCTAACTTGCGGGTTTTTTACGGTGAGTGCCATTGGGATAAAACCTCTGAAGTGGAATGAGCAAGTCAAGGTGGTTTCCACGTTACCTACAGCCTCCACTTTTTAATACTCTTAACTGGATCCTGGGGGGAAAACCATTTTAAAACAGCTTTGATTTGAAATTATAACAGATGTCAGATGCAACCTACTTCAGCCAGACTCACTGAGCAAAGCTTCCCTTCTCTGCTGCACACAGCAGATCGTTTTCATCAATAAAAGATGTGGCATGGAAGCGGGGAGGACCAGCTTAAAGGAGGCTGGAGTCTGGACTAACAGGAGGCTGGTTTAACACAGGCTGGGACGATGGGGATAATAAAAGCTTTGTTCAGTCAGAACAAAGGACTTTTTATTTCCTGAGTGCCTTAGAGGTCCTGGGGAGTTCATACCCTCCTGCTGTAGGTAAATCACGTTGCTCCTGGTTTTATGGATGGGAGAGACCTTAAGAGCCAGACTGTCATCTGTTTTGGAGGGGCCGCAGGCAAGCTGCCTTCAAGAGTCCAGCCCCAGCCATGAGATCGATGATCCTCTCTCTGGGCACTTCTGGAGGGACACTGAGCCCCGGCTCTCCATCCTCCAGCGCAGCTCGTGGCCCTTTGCACACGCGCCGAGAGGAGCCCCAGCTGAAGTCAGCAGTCACATCTCGGGGAGCTCAGGGGCCCGGCCTCCTGCACAGCTCTCCATCACAGCGTTAAATCCCTTTGCTGCGCAGAGGTTAGCAGCAGGATTCAGCACATGATGTTCTGGCATTCAGACTTGGCATGAGATTCCTGTTTTTTGGAGGAGATTTAGAACACACACAACTGTAGCAATGCTTGACTTCTGGATAGGGGCCAAGGCCTGGCTGGAGCTGGCTTTGACATGTCTTGGGTTAAAGATGGCCGAGGCCTGAACATGTTGCCATGGGCTGTGAAATCTCTAGCTTTGTGCAGCAAGAAATTAAGCTTTCTGGTTCCTAACAGCTCTGATATGACTGGAAATGAGTGAAATTGTAACAAGACGAGGTGGTAGTCTGGGGTTTGAGCTAACTGATGCCTTTCAGTTTATCTCCAGTCCAAAGAGGAAAGCTTGTATGTGAAGGTGATGTTCAACAGCTTGCTTAAAGTTTGTCTGGATGCCAGATGCCATAAAAGGCAGAAAGAGAGTGGTTGGTCCCTTGGCATCGACAAAACAGAAGTACAGTTTGCCTCTGCAGCGAGGTACTTTTCTCATTCCTGGAAAGAAAAGATAAATCTCGGTGTAGAGGGCACACAGACTGGTCCCCAAGAGGCTCTATATCACTTCAGAGCGTGTGCTCGTGTGCATGCGCTTGCTTTGACCCTGCAGCCTGGTTTTCTCCTGCTCCTGTGGGCTGCGTTTCAGGGCTTCAGAAGGACCATGGTCGGAGAGTTGTGTGAAGCAGGCAGTGGTGATGCTGCGCTCTGCCATGTAAGCCAGGACCTGGTGGAGGGTTGCAATACATGGGTGACATCCCCACGGCTGTTAGAAGTGCAGGAGAGAGGACAGGGGGAAAACTAAAAGCCTTTCCTCAAGCAAGTTCCTATTTATGATAAGGACAAGTGCAGGCTGAAATGAAATTCGACTTAGCAGAGGGTAATTTGTTGCGCATGCGAATTAGCGAGGGGGCTCCTGAGAACTGCTAGGAAGTGTTGGGCTGGGGGACGTTTGGTCAGCACAGCTGTTCTTGTGATTGAGTTAAGGAATTCGTGTCCCGGTTTGTAGAACATCTTAAGGTTTCTAAAATGTTTGCTCCAACATGGACGAAAACCCCAAGACTTCTGATCTAGGAGCCAGACTTAACCCAGGGCGGGCAGTGTGGTTGGGCAGGGTGTGGTGAGATCGGGTTCAGGGGGTTACAGGGCAGGTGCTTCAGTCTTTTAGAACAAGGTGACTGTTTAAGCCATTTGGTGATGAAATTAGTGACACGTTGGGGGAAAGAGAGAAGTGATTAAGAGTGATCGATTAGGGCGGTGGGCTGGAATGTGTATGTACAGCTTCTGGTGCTGTAGGTGCGTGGATAGTGCAACGTCCTGCTCTGATGGATCCCAGAGAGGAACCGAACCAGAGCCTTGCGTACCCCTTGGCGGTGGGGCAGCCTTACGTCACCTGTGCCCTCACCAGAAACCCTGCTCTGGGACCCTCAAGACTTTATGTGTTTCAGAGTGAGGCATTTTAGTTGAAGTTTCGATTAAAGAACTGTTAACTGCTCTCTCCTTCACTTCAGTACCACGTGTGAACTCATGCCTGCATGTGGCAGGTGCTTACCCATCATCCACAACACAAACCTGCTTTGGCATGGCTGGAACCCAAGGCCTTCGACACCTGCCTTGCTGTGATAGCTGCGCCAGGCCGGTTTAACCAGAGAGAGGAATGAAAAGTGGCCCGCTGGCACCTTCCTTTAAAGGATGAAGATGGCCAGAGCTGCTGTGACACTGCAGGGTGACAGCATGGCCGTTACACCACTGATTTTTAAATGTGCACGGTGGAGCGGGGCCACTGGCCCAGCCAGCCCTTTGCCCTCACAAAAATGTGTGCACAGTGGGGCAGCAGTGCACTTTTACCATTGGTGGTTGATTGGGTTGGGTTTTTTTTTTTTTTTTTTTAGGGAAAGGGCACAAACAGTGACTCATGAGCTGTGTATAGCTGGACCTTAAAGCCGAAGGAGTCGGGCCTTTGGAGTCTGTTACTGGCTCCTGGTCCTTGGTAATTCCAAGACTGGAGCTTTATTTATTGACACTGTTTGCTCTGGATCATGTGTCACTTGTTTTCTTCTTGTCCTCAGGTGGCTCCGACAAGAAGTGAGAAGCGAGGCTCTTCGTACCTCATTTCCTCCCCAGAACCTGGCCCCGTGGAGTACCTTGGCCAGCAGACTCAGGGCTCCGCAGTACGTTACGCAGAATCCTCTCTCAAAAAAAAGCGCGTTTATTGAGACCTAAATAATCACTCCTGCCTTAGGGGGTGAAGGCAGGCTTTTCGTACCTCTGCTATTTATTGCTGCCTTAACTTCAAACCAGTAACACTTCTCTATGTGTGGGTTATAAGTATCCCAAGAGGAACAACCCTGTAACGGGCAAACTTGCCAAGGAAACGGTACGTATTGCGACGAGGTTAGCCATTGCGCGGTAATCTGACCTGCCTTCTGAAAGGATGGGATGGTGTCTGCTTTGTCATCTGCCGCTGAAAGAGCTGAGGCCGACAAAGCGAAGTGACTCAGTGAGTTTTGGTAGCTTACCAGCCGAAAGCAATAACATCACTGAGGAGGGAACGCTGATCCTTTCTCTTGTCCTCAGACTTGAGGAAGTTAAAAGATGAAGTCTTGATAGTAATTTTTGCATATTTTTTTAACTCAGAATGTGAGGGATTTTTTCAGTCTTACTTTTTCCAGGATTAAGAGTTCTGCATTTACAGTCTTTATATTTTTAATATTTCCTCTTAATCCTGGAATGCAGATATACCAAATGTATTACCAGAGCCTCTGTGATGTTCTCAATAAATGTTTGTTAAAAGGAAGATGCGATACCGTGTGCTGCCTTGCAATACTGAAGTCAATTTGGAGAGGTGATACTTGGACAATGAAGTAACCTTGATCTGCTTTTAGGCCAGGACCCCACAGCTTTTCCTTGGAGTGATTTACAGGTTGTGAAGGCACCCGTGTGAAGTGGTGTGTGTGGCAAAGCACTGTCCTTCTACCAGGCATGCGTGCCGGTGAGGCAGGGCTGCGGGCAACACAGGCGGGTGCTGGAGCATAGCGTGGCTACAGGTAACAGACATCAACTGCCTGTTGTTCTTTTTCTGACTCCAGGGTGGGGGTGATTCAGAGTTAGAGCAGAAGCACTACTGACCTGCTCCTTGGGTGACTCTTCAACCTTGCCTTCCTGCTCGTCACTGTTTTATTTTTTTCTTTTTTTCTGAGCATCTTGACTTTTGAACAAATTGCCTGCCCTCCAAAGCCTGCTAGAGCAGAGCGTCCTGGCTCTGGTTGGCACTCCTCCTTCTCTATGACCTTTTGCATGAACCAGTTATCACTAGAAGGAAACAATATTTACTCTCTCTCCTCTCCCAGGTGTGCGGGGCGGGCTCACACCCCTGCACTGTGAACCCCAGCAGCCTGTGGGCACAGCCTCTGCCCAGGGCAGATGGTACCACACACACACACACACA